TGCGGATATATATATACACAAAAGTCTTAAATGCGCAAATACTCAATAAAGAGAACGACTATGGAGTAAATGTTGCAAATATATTATGCTCTCTTTTCTCTTAAACAAATACGAACCAACTTCAACGAGAGTCGTACTTGGGAACAGCGAAACAGATGAGTATAAATAATGTTGCCAGAGATGAGTAGAACTTTGAAAGGTATTTGGCAATAATATCGTCAATTGCCTTTGCAGCAAAATATCAAGACAGATCATTTTCTCGGTATACATATGTACATATGTTTCTTTTGTTCTCACTTTTTGCTTAGTGTAGTAAAGTAGCTGCAGATTTATCAAAATATCTTTTTTCATGGTAGACTCATTTTGTTTTAATTTGTCATTCATGCAAGGCATTACTGAAATGTAAAGTTTTCTTTGCGAGCAAATCAATGTTATCTGCGAAAGAGCCGAACTTTTGTCATTTTCTCATGTGAACCAGTTAGGGAAGAATATGCTATATTAGATACAATCTATTGGTACATATATATGTATGTATATAAGTAAATACATACTTTTGAATGCACCAAACTTTTGAATATACAGTGGCAAGCAAAAGTGAGTGCATGTTTGAAAATTCTATGTTTCAATATCTGTAACTTCCTCAACATTAAATCAAATTCAACCAAATTTTCAGCATTAATTATTTAATATGTACTTAAAAAAATGACATTTGTAAAAAAGTTAAACTAAAACAAAAAAATTGACTTACGGTTAAAAACTTAAAATATGAGCAATGCACTCAGTTTTGCACATTATGAAATCTTCGAATAAATTGAGCGTATACTCAATAATTCTTCATAAGTAGTCTAATTAACCGTTACCTTTTGACACATTGAGTGCTTATAAGTAAATTTAACAGTTCTGCTTCTCACTCACTTTTGCTTACCACTGTACATAAGTATGTAATTGCCCAGTTGGGCATTTATTAATATGCTATTCTAGAAGTACAAATATAATACTTGGGAAGTACTCTTGTTTAATATCGAAAGATTATATCATAACGTAAGTATATAACAAATTATAATACATATTTGTTTATTTTACAACAGATGATTTTTTTTAGTATGATGACTGAGTTAAAACTGTAAGTATACCCAATAACACCAATACTAATGTTTCACGATATGTACAATACATACATACATATATGTATACGTATGCATTTTTTCGTAATGAGTGACTGAAAAAATAAGCTGACCTCATTAATTTTCCATCGTGCGATGAGTTCAATGAATGTATTCACATATATATGTACATAAATGTGTATACATATATGTACACTCGTAATTAATGCATGTGAATACTGTTTTTTCATCAGCATTACTAATGTTAGGCCATGAATACTGTTCAAACTGTTAGAAGAAGTTTTATTAATCGAAAGATATTAACATTTAAGTACTGCGAAAGCTGTATTAAACATACGCTATATTAAGCGGACATTTCCTCTAATTGTGCACAGTGACCAGCCATAAAGTTGTTTGTATGTTTATTTAGCGGAAACTCTTTTCACCAAACAGAGAGGCTGGTCCTGTCAGTGTCCGTTTATAGGAGATTTCACTATACATATATAGTAGTTATTATCCTAATATGAGTCCATAAGCTGCAGAAATTAATCGAGCAGGTACAATTTTCTATAAGAGTATTCAGCTGCTGGCGTATGCCGATGATATTGATATCATTGGTCTTAACATCCGCGCCGTTAGTTCTCCAAACTGAATAAGGAAGCAAAACAAATAGGTCTGGTAGTTAACGAGGAAAAGACGAAATATTTCCTGTCAACAAACACATAGTCGAAGCACTCGCGACTAGACTCCGACACCACTTTTCACAGTCACAAATTCGAAGTCGTAGATAATTTCGTCTATATTGGAAGCAGTATTAACACTAACAACAAGCCTCGAAATCCAACGCTGAATAACTCTTGCCAACAGGGGCTACCTCGGACTGAGCAGGCAATTGAGAAGTCAGTCCTCTCTCGACGAACAAAAACCAAACTCTATAAGTCACTCATTATATCCGATGAGTCGGTCCTTTGCGCATTGGCCCCGGCGGTGCCACGTTGCGAAAAGAAGACACGACTGGTATGCTGTGCTTTTCCAAATAATGAAATATTAAATAGATAAAATATTTAAAAAAAAATAGTCCAAATAAGTTATAAAAGATCAAACTGAATAAAAATATCTCAAATATAGGTATTCAGGTATTTTGGGTACCATTTTACGATTTTTTTTAGATCGCATGTTCAATTGTCTTATTATTTTCTTCCAAAAAAAATGGATCAGAGATGTCTTGAAAATATTGTTTATAAAACTATTTAGAGCAAGAACTGTAAATAAAAATATTATTATTTTCAGAAATTTATTCAATAGAATTGAAAGTTAAGTTAAGAAACTTTTCTGAATTAGAAAAAGAATGGATTTGATAGTTAGTTTTTCCTTCAATTTTCTTTACCTTAATCCGTTTTTTCACTTTTGGCTTAGTTTTCTTGGATTCATATTTTTATTTATCTATGGGGCCTCGTTAAAATAATAGTTTTTTATTTTTTCTGCACATGTCGCCTTAACATAGCGTTTTCCTTTACATGCAGAACCTTAGAAAAATCCATGAACCCAAACCCTTTCAGCACATTGCTTGATGGCATAAACTTATTTGGCACCTGATGTCATTGTATAAACGTTTTTGTTAAATTTTCAAATACATATATTTCGATTATTATAATTCATAAAGATTAAATGTACCTAGTTGTGATTAAAATTTTATTTATTGTATCAAAATATTTGTAAGTCGTTTCTATTGTATTAAAAATATTTGAAGAATATAAGATATACATACATATTGCTTAAATTATTACAAACTTTTTCGTTTTGTTTAGTATTGTACATATTATATGGGTGAAAATAGACCTCCGGGGGCCTATATTGCCTTTTATTTGAATCACTGTTCCAAAAAATCAACTATTTCAATCAGGTGATCTCAGCTGTTGACGACCATATCATTCTTTTGTTACTTGTATGTATATTTCTACAATGCCTGATATTTTCAGCGAACCGAAACTCAAAGGGAAAACGGATTTTCTGAGGCCCTTTACTTCATTTCAAAAGCATGTTGTACTAACTCTACTCAATTTCRTCATTTAGTACTGGCTAACGTTCAAGTGACATTTTTATTACTTTGTTAGAGAGAAGTTACTCCCTGTCGTTCTTTGTAGTGTGGAGCGCGACACTCGACATGTCTTTGGCGCAAAAAGTGTACACATTTTATGATTTCAACCTTAACCGCTTATTAAAAAACCTAAGATTAATAATTAAATTAAAGTGGGATATAGAAAACTTTACCCAAAGTAGCCGACAGTACCCAATTAGTGGCTTTGTAGGAAAAAGTATTTGAAACAAGTATATATGTAATTAAAAATGAATTCTTACTGTTTTACATTATTTAAAATAGTTCTAAGCTGCTATCTGAATTTTCCGTTTTCAGAAACAATCACTTTAAGGAAAAATAATATCGATACTTTAGACGACCGAAAACAACTCTACTGCCCTTCAAAAATTAATTTCCGTCAACAGCATATAAGTAAGAATACCAGTCTAGGCTTCTTAAAACATTACCCGAGCAGCCCACAATACCCAATCTTACTCTACTAAATTTTTGTCAATGTTTTCACTGTTTACATACCGATATAATACATTACGGAAACCGTAGCATTTTTGGTTATGTTGGGATAGCTGCAAAATAGTTGATGAAATACTTTCTTTTGTATTATGCTTTCGCTATTTAGAGATCCTTTCTCGATAATAAGCACTATTTGGTTTACAGGAACAAACACAGCTTTTCAAAAAACACTCACTCCACCTACGATGCACTGTGCTATTTCAAGCTGGAGAGGTAAAATTAATACAATAAAATTCTTAATCACTTTGTGCATACTGCAATCATTCATGCCCATTTCAGTGGCTATTTTTCGTATACACTTTTATATAATGCATGACTACTGAAATAATTTCCTGTTTCTTTTAAAGAATATATATATTTTACATATTTTCACAATACACAAAAAAACTAAAATAGCAAAATTAACATGTGTTATTGTGGTAAAATTTAATACTTTAAGTTTTTGCAATATATAAGTGCGTTCAAAAAATAACGTTATCATATGCCAATTATAGAAAATATATTGATTTGCTCCAATCTCTCGCATTGTCTATTATAGCCTGATATCTTTGATGACAACTTGTAATTAAATTTTCCGCATATTCCAGGTATGTTGGAGAAGCCGAATAAAGTCATTTGCTGACGTTAAATGTTTTCTTGAAGCACCTCAAAACCCCAAATACATGAGCAGAGAAGCATCCATAAATACAAGTATGTTTGTCATTTTCTTAGCCACACACGTCTCAAGGTGTTGAACAATACAAAATTTCACTCATCTGTAAATATTACATTGCTCCAATCAGGCTTGATATTTTTCGGTGCTCAATGCGACCTTTTTTCAATGTGTGTGTGTGTGAAAGTAGGGGTTTGTTACAGAATTGCTGCGTTTGATGCCAGATTTCTGAATTCTGTCCCTATAGGAGTTTCTTCTCAAAATGAAAGCCAATAGCTTCGTCCTCACTTTTAGATGTCACGTGATTCCTCTCTCTTCTTGGCTTGTCATCTACGTTCCCAGTTTCTCTAGAATGGTCAGACCACCACCTTTTTACAAATATACCACTCGTATTTAAATACTTTGCAGTTTTTTAATGAAGAATCTGAGACTTCTAACATGCTTCGTTAGAAAGGCTGATCAGCACGACTATATTAAAAAGAACAAAAAAAAAAAAAAATTTGCAAAAAAAAAAAAAAGTTTTCCGCGAATTGATAGCGTAAAAAAACGATATTTTTGTAACGCATTGCAAATTTTCTGAATATTAAATTTTTCGATTCTTTTGTATAGAGATTGATTAGAAATATACAAAACTTACCACATGTACACTGCTTTGCAGATTGCCTGCCATCATAGCAGTCGCAGCCGACACCGTATCTGTGGGCTTCTTCTCAGTTTTCTTAGCTGAGCGTTTATTTTTGCTCTCAAGGTATCTTTTTTGCAGCGCCGCTGTTTCACTATTTTGTTGCTCACATACTGTATTAAATGTTTGTTCATAGCGCGGTACGCAGTCCGTCTGTCGACGTCTATAGTTTTCGATTCGTCGTCTAAGTCGATCAACCATTTGCTGCCTTTTTGGAGGCACAACTTCCGGACCGCAGGTACCCTGGTTGCCGGACGTTGGTCCGTTGATATTGTTGTTGACGCCGATGAGGCCACCCATTCCGCTAGATGCTCCAGCTGTTGTAGCTGTTGTTCCAGTTGCGCCTGCAGGGCCGSCAGTTGCGCTGCCGCCAAAGCCAATGCCGCCTCCTCCACCGGCACCTCCTCCTGGTGCTGGATGGTACGCAGAATGTTGGGATTGTTGTGGTTGCGTATTCGCCTGTTGATGTTGATGTTGCTGGTGATGTTGCAACTGTATCTGTTGTTGCTGCTGCACATTGTGTAATTGTTGCTGCGTCGATTGTAATTGCTGATGTTGCTGTAGATGCAGCCCTAAACTTGACTGTTGATGCTGTAGCTGATGGTGTTGTAAATGTTGTTGCTGCTGCAATTGTAAATTGAGCTGTTGTTGACGCTGCTGCTGGTGCTTTTGCTGTTGCTGCTGGGCTGCGACGGCTGCCTGGCTGGCGCTCTGAAACACAGGGATACCTCCAGCATCCATAAATACAAATTTCTGATGCGATTTTATCGTCGCCTTCGCGTCGCACTAGTCCTCTGACCTCTAAGGTCCGAACATTGGGCGTCGAACACGAATAAAACAAGAATAACCGAAGTAATCTAAGTACGTAATCACTTTTCACATCAAATCTTAACGTCAAAACCTTTGGAAAATTCAATGAATTGTCAATTAGACATTCAGAATCATTTTTACTTCTGTTCGGTTTTCAGAAAATTTAAATGAGGTGCATTTTTCATAGTCTCTGAGCAGCATTCTCGTGTATAACAAATTTTAATATTAACTGCAAATAAACAATTTTAAATCATTAGAAACGAATATTATTTTTTTAATAAAAGCATTTAATTAAGAAAGCCTTATTTTATAATTCAAATATTTTGCAACAGAATTGAAAGAAATATTCATACATTTGAAAATTTCTTGTAAAAGTTCCACAGAATCAAGAACAGGGTGCATTTTCTATACGCTTATCCCTTTAGTATAATATGAGTATACATATGTATACTCGATTATTTCGTGTTTGAAATTGAATTTTGTTGAATGAGGAATGAGTCATAAAATTGTAYATTAACAAAAGAAAAACTGGAGAACTCTACCGCTCTAACATCCATGACTGACTAGCTACGACGTAGAGGAAGCTAAAAATACATAAAACGAGTTAGCGGTCTTACTGGCTGCTACACTCGTTGGTGAGTTGAACAGAGTTCGGTCGTTGTTATCATGAGCGTAGTACGTCAGTAGTAAAATGAGGAGGCCAGTTTATTTTTCGTCAGAGAACAAACAGTGTTGCCATATGTGACATGAAAATATTGTTTTTGAATGGTTTTTGACCATTGATTAGGAAAACAACGACGCCGCTCAAAAACAAGTTTTGAATGTCATAATAATACACATATGTAGAATGATTACTAAATTCGGATTTCCAAATTTTTATTTTGACATGAATTTGTTAATAAAAGCTATAATTTTTTCAATCTATTATAGTCCGAAAGTAGAGTACCATTTGTTTAGAAATTTGATGTTGTAACCAATATGCATCAAGATTCTTKATCGTTTGTAATGAAAACCAATGCTAGTAACTACAATGCTAATGCATGTAAATGTACTTATGTATATGTGATGCTTTTATATGGATATGTATGTGTACAACTGTATTAGTTGTGCTATTGATGCCAATTCAAAATAAGAAAATATACAAGAGAAATAAGAAATATTGAAAATAGGTAGTTAACCAATTTTCCAAATTATTTGAATATGAGATTCTTATTTCCTCTATATATACATACCTACATACTCATTTTATGAAAATAATAAACATGTATTTGTTAGGATTCTCGACGAGTTCATTCGGCTATTCATCTCACTTATCCACACTTACATGCGTATATACATACATATGTATATGTACATTGAACTTATGCTCATTGTATAATATCTAAGGGAAAGTGAATTGTTTTATTGGTACACCCACGGCAAACCAGCGAATAAAGTAAGTTTAATCGTGCTCACACAGTCATACGTGCCAATATTCCAGAGTACGAAACTTAGTACTCAATACCAAGATACTATGGACGTTACCCTGCTCTATGGAATGATACGAACAAAGAAAGAACGAATTAGTGTGAGTCGCTCGGAGTTAATGCAAAACCAGAGCAAATTATGATGCAAAGATGCAGCCACCGATAAACTCTTATTTCTTACTCAAACGCCAAATGTCTTATTTAGAGAATAAGTGGAGCTATTTATGATACTTGTAGTTGTACTCTCAACATGCATCCATGTAGAGCATGCCCATTAGAATTGGTTGCATGGTATGCGACGGTAATACTATTTGGTTGTTTCAAATTATTTATTCGTTCAGTGTTGCAGTTTGAAAACGCTTGATGGGTAGAGTTGATCGCTTGTTTAAAAGATTTTTTGTTTAATCGACATACATACATACGATGTCGAGTATCAAATTATTAAAGGTCATAGCAGGTGGAAGAAAAGAAATGGATAGTGGCAAGCGTACATACATATAGCAGTTTCCCCTGCATTTGTCATTTTACTAAAATTTACTAAACTACTGATATTAGAATTTTCTCAGAATATGTTCAAATTTTAAATTGACTGCGGATTCAACTCTTCCAGTTGCTGTGAGTTATTAAATACCACGGTTATCTGCACTACACGGATATTATTGTTACGTTTTCTGGCTATTGTACAGCTGCTTTCAAAACCGGTTCGACACCAGCACATCAATTAGGGGCGAAATCACGTGACTTCCCTTTATTTATTTTTCACCCCACCACAACTCCTTCTAGTTATCACTGTTATAGCCAGTAAGTAGGTGTAAGTTTTGTTGTCGTATTTACCACATACATATGTATGGATCGGGCGCAAATGGAGTGGTGATTAACGTCACTGCCAATATAATTTTCTTTTCTCGCTTCACAATTAGTTCCCTTTTGGATAAGCTTTCATACATTTTTTACAACTTTTGTTACCCATACTTGTTGCCGCATCATATTCTGCAACCAATATTTGCGTTTGTCAAGGCAACGGTGGTATGATCAGCAACAGTTGCATCCAAAATGAACGAAAATTTAATGGCAACATGGAAACCAAAATTTTGAGTAACTAGGTTTGCCCAAGTTTCATAAGGAGCGTTTGATACAAACATAACGTGGATTGGACCTAGAATATTTTGCTGATTACGTGACTTTTTGACAACAGGAAATAAAGATGAAACCGGTAGAATATTGAATTGGGATTATGTATGAAAAAAATTGATTCAACTGAGGCAAATTTTATGTACTGTGTTCAAGCTGAATAATAAAATCTAGTAGCTTTGGTGAAATATTTGCAACTACAGTTAAAAAGTAATTGCAATTCAGGATTTATTAAGAAGAGCAAGAGAGATAGTTTACTAAATGGGCGCTCAGTAGACATGCGTAATGAAGAAATTTTAAATAACATACTACATAGAATGAAAAGCAATTTGTGTTCGACAGCTTTGAGCTGTTAAACGATTTTAGCAATATATGAAAAAACGAACTTTTTCTGGGTATTTGATCGATCCAATTTTCGGTTGTCAAAAACTTGTGTTTAAAGTATATTTTTAAAGTCACAAAAGTGAACATATTCGTTTGGCATAAAAAAGCATCTGTTATAAATCCTTCCACCTCAATATAATCTGTAGTAGCAACATTTGAAGAGATAAATGCGCGCAGCGACTTCTACGTGAGCAGCTGTTTAGAAAGTGAGATTTCCCCCTAGCGAATCACGCTCCAATTTAAAAGTTCGCTCAATGGAAGGAAATTCGTATGAAATTTAACTTCTAAACGCTATTGCCAATTTAAGAGTTCAAGTTATGGAGTACTTCTAGTTATAGTAGTTCGAGTTATGGAAGTTTAACTGTACATTGATATTAATGTATATAATATTTATATACGTATTACCGAATAAAAAGGTGAATAAATTTCTCCGAAATGATTTACCAAAATGAAAAATAACTCAACTAATTTCATAAGAGATCAAAACTTTTAGACCCGTACCCGCACCACAACGACATCAATAACAAATAAGGAAGTTCAGATCACATACACAGATACACTATTGTCAGGAAAGGATTCTCTCTAGATACAATTTTCACTTCGACCCCATAAAGCCTTCTCATACCACCTAAGAGGTAAAATTTAAGTTAAGTTATTTAAAATTTAAAGCTTTTTTGCGGTTTAAGTGGTTTTGAACAGTAGCGTTATATGGGGAGTGAGCGGAGTTATCTTCCGACTTCATCCTATCATCATATTTGCGCTCAGCAAATTTGGTTGCTGTATCTTTTGTTGTATTGTGTCTGACAAAGAAGTTGAAGAACCAGTTATCGAGKAAGATATACCAAAACAGAAAGTGAGTTTTTCGGAAGCAGTTGAATGCATCAATACCTTGATATATGAAAACAATAAAAATGCACGAAAATTGTCAGGAGCTATTAAACAAAAGAAAAAAGTCTCGACGGCTTCTTTAAACCAGCTCTTCCAAATTAATATGTCCATAAGTATGTATGTATATAATGTGAAAAAGTACAAACTAAATCTAAGTTTCTTTTTTGTTATGTTTATTTCCGTTTTTTTTTTTTAATTCGAAGACCCTTTGGAAAAGTTAATATATCGGAAAAGTGAAACACATCATCATCCTCTCACATGCGCATTGAATTTCGAGCGTCCACCCAATGTACTCATAACAGAGAACGATGATGTTTTCACGTTTTTTAATATCAAATAATATTGTTTAT